TTTCCCAAATGCATTTTAGGTCCCTTCTATTATCTTGTGCAATTGACAGGCTCATCGTCACATCACTGTTCATCAGAAATCATGTGCATTTAGGGCCACCACGCTTCAGAAATGAAATAGGAGATGCCAACCATGTGACTTAGATACCTGCAGGGCGCCTGGAGCAGTATGTTTTTTTTTTTTTGTGTGTGTGTGTGGATTTTTTAATCTTGACACAATGCACTAATTAGTACAACTTCTATAAATGGCCATATATTTATAATGGCCAATATTATTGCATAATAAATGATCATTCATTTCACTTTTATTCAGCAAAGTAGTCAAACAACAGTACCAAAACAGGATATGAACCCATGCACTGACATCTTCCAGCAAAAGCACAACCAGATAGGAACTCAGTCATAACAATGCCCCATTACTGCATCAGTCTCAGACAACCTCACATGAAAACGTAATAGTTAAATGCTGCACGCTAAATTTAAATGCTGGCAAGTCTAACATCAATTTTGAACGATCACTTATTAACTTTAACCACTAGATGGTAGCAAATACTCAACAACTGATTGAGTTGGAAAACATAAAGGTCATCTTGTTACAAATAAACCAGAAGTCAACCTTAGACAAGACAAAGCTTGGATTTGTTTTGTTTCCCAACACAAATGTAGTGAAACTTTAAAATCTAAGCTGTATAAGAGTCTTGATAGACTAAAGCAGCTGTCTTAAGGTTTTGTTATTCAAACCTCAGAGCTCAGATTATCTGACCAACACTGAGGTCAGAGCCTGGACAAAGACAGGTTAACATTTTGTTGAAATGAGGAAGGTCAGTATTATTTTGCCTGAAGTCAGGACCAGACCAGGATGTAAGGCTCTCCAAGTTCCACAATCTCAGATAGACTGGATCAGTGTTGGGCTCGGCGGCCCCCGGCGTTGGGCTCGGCAGCCCAGTAGAGCAGAGGAGTAGGGGGCACAGCAGGCCGCACAGAATACGTTTGCGTTGGGCACGGTGGCCCCCGGCGTTGGGCTCGGCGGCCCAGTAGAGCAGAGGAGTAGGGGGCACAGCAGGCCACACAGAACACATAAAACAAAATTCGACGCTCCCTACTGTGTTGAAGATCTTCAGGATGATCAATCTGGAAAATAAACCAAGTGAGAAACGAGTCACGTTAATTAGAAGTTACATTTGTCAAGTGATTGTTTGTTAAATAGAAAACTTGAGTTTGACTCCACATGGTTCTCACCTTGTCTTTCAGTTCCAGGAGTGGACTGTGACGCTGGACAACTTCGGCCTGGTCTCCGTGTGCAGAAACCTCAACGTATCTGTTAATTTTAAACACTGTTGATTTCTTCTACTAAGACACTGATTCAAAAGGCCAACATAAGCAAATAAAAAGCCAAAGCTCACTAACTTTTCTACCTCTGTCGTTCACCTGGACCAGCCGTCAAGTTGTAAATTAGGAACAACTCCACACACGTATGGTTTTTGAAGCGAGCGGCGCACTTTTTTCATTGGCCTCTTCTGCCGCATCTTTGTCACGTGACTACACCGAAAAATAGCCTGATTGGCCGGCGGGGCCCGCAGCTGTGGTTTGCTTTATCTTGTACAGGTGTTTTTAATAAAGGTGATCAAAAAAACAATTACACTTATCACACTTAAAGACCCATCCGCTTTATTACCAATAAACATATTCTCTTGTGAAGTAGAGTTAATTAAATATATTTTCTTTGAAAATGCTTACATAAGGAGGAAAAACACAGTAGTAATAAAAAAAAAGAAGAAGAAAAAACAATGAAAACGCTTGTAAACTTCCTGGGTTCATCAGACGTTTTTTTAGGTATACTTGTTACACATTACAGTACTGAGTAACTCTTTGTATTTTAATGTGCTGCTAGAAAACTGTAAAAAGAACAGAATGGCAACCCTATGAGCATTGACATGAATGACACTTTATAATAGTTTATATTATATATAATATTATAAGTTTCCGCAGCATCATCAGAAGTACTATCTTTTAGACGCAACATAAACACAGTAATTCTGTCCAGCCGGATTTTAAGAACATATTTTAATTACAGGCCATATTTGAAAGAACATGGTTAATATTTTGAGCGATGTCACCTATTAACTTTAACCACTAGATGGTAGCAAATACTCAACAACGGGAACAAGCTTAGCATCAAAAAAGTAGAGCTTTTCAGGGGTAGTGGTCTATGCTTGGTGTTGTTAGTCAAAGTCCAAGTCAGAAAGAGCAAGAGAGTTTAGAAAACAACCAAATAAAATGATTAGTTGTTGATAAAACAGAGAAACAAAGCCAACAATCCAGAGCAACAGACCATCATTGTTAGGGTTAGAATGCTTTTTAAACACTAAGATTGTGTCCTGTTTAATTTGACTAAGTAAGTGTTTATGCATGTGCACATCATGCATTCAAACAATTGTCAGAGTCACTATCATGACTGAGGTTGGGGCAGCAGCTGCTCATGGTGTTAATTCCTATCAGATGGCCTCAGTGTCTGCGTGGGCAGCCTGGAAGAGCAGTGAGCAGAGGAGCGGAGATGCCAAAGATAGCTGGGCTTGGTCCAAATCTCCTGCCCATGTTTACTGGTACGCCCATGTCACGCTCCTGCGTGTGTCATTGTTGGCATCAGTAGGTGATTATTAAAAGGAGCACAGCAGGTGTCCACCCTGGGACCCCTGGTCTTTACGTCAAAGCAGGGGGCATCTGTGGACCCAGCTGACTGCCTTCATTTCCCAAATGCTTGTCTGTGTTGTTCAAAATAAGTGCACGATGTTCGTCTTCTTTTTTGTTTTAAAAAAGCCTGCATACATTTAACTACAGCTAGCTTACAGAAGATTCTTCTTCTCTGTATATTGGCGCTTGTTAAAGAACTAACTGGTGCATTACTGCCACCATGTGGTCAAAAGATACATTGTAGCTGAGTTTTTTGTGGATAACATATCTCATATCTTCATGACAAAAAGAGTGTTTATGTGACATTGTAACATCTGACACGTAATGGCGATGGACTTCCTCCTCCTCTGGTGCCTTTCACTTCCTCCTTCTACTCTTCTTCCTCCTGCCCAATAAGCCACTGCACCACACGTCAGTGGAAAATGATCAATTTTACAGTAGAGACCTCAAACATCAGCTCAAAGAGATGTTTGTGTTTCCCGGACTTTAAAGTCCCTGCTCGCACAAACAGATTTATGTGGCTCACAGCCCTGCAGCAGACTGTGAAGGACTTTGACCTAAACATGGAGGTTTCAGCATGTGCTGATTATGTTACAATGATTAAAATCAGCCATTTATATGGAGCCTGACGAGGACTGAGGATTCCAGAGACAATGAGCCAATGAGAATGCAAACTAATTTCAGACATTTGTATCCTTATAGTCAGTAAACATATGATTGAAATGTATTTATTTTATGATTTTGTTTTGTAAAAAAAAAAAATTAAATATTAGTCCAAGAGTCACAACTTTAATCACCGATGCCAGGTCAATATAAAAATCAGTGATCTAATTGTCATCTTAGATTTCTAATACTATAGACATCTTATATAATAATATATAATATAATAATATAAATGTAATACCTATCACATTGTGACCACATACGTATATTCCAGAATTGAATAACAATTCTGACTTCGATTGCTAAATACTGAAAAAGGTTCAAAAATTGAAACAAATTCTGAAAA